CTGCACCTCCGCCCCCGCCCGGGCCTTCTCAACCCTCCCGGGACCCGCAGCGACCCCGGCCCACCTGGGCCCTCCGCTGGACGTCTCCGGGTCCCCCGCGTGGTGCCTCCCAGGGTCCCGGACTCGCAGCGCGACCCCCGGTCCTCCCTCCCACCCCTCCTAGCTCGCGCAGGGTTCTCCGAGCCTCTCCGGGTCCCGGACCCCTGCCCCACGTCCCCAGAGCGGCCCTGGGCAGGTCCCCTCGAGCCCCGCGGGCATGCTCAGGCTCCTGGCGCTGCTGTTCCCGCTGCTGCCGCCGCCCGCGCGCGCCCGGGAGCTCTCCGCGCAGGACGTGAGCCTGGGAGTGGTGAGTGCCGGGGTCTGGGGGCTCCTGGGATCTGCGGGGTGGGGTGGGGTTCGGACCAGGCTGGGAGCTGATTCAACTGTCCAAAGAGTGACTGGGGATGGGGTCTGGGGACCCAGATTCTTGGACCCATCAGGTTTGGGGCGTTGATTTGAAGATCTGTTGAGGGGTAGGGGTGGGGAGGTGGAGGACAGGACTCTTGGGTCCGGACACAACCCAGGGCTGGAGAGCCCGCACTTTGAGATGGACAGTAGGCAGTCACCGGGGCTGGGCCCCCTGGGCTCCGGATGCCTGGACGCCTGGCGAGAGGTGGGGCTTCCAGGATGGTGGTGGGAAGGGGGCGTCTCTCCCACTCATCCGCTTCCCCTGTTTCCCTCCTATGGTCTAGGACTGGCTGACCCGCTATGGCTATCTGCCACCACCCCACCCTGCCCAAGCCCAGCTGCAGAGCCCTGAAAAGCTGAGGGATGCTATCAAGGTCATGCAGAGGTTTGCCGGGCTGCCTGAGACAGGCCTCCTGGGTAGGTAGACCCCCCCACACCCCTCCCCAGCCTTGCCTCTGCACCCAGCCTGACCATTAGCCAGCAGTATCTAAACCTCAGCATGCACCTGAATCACAGGAGCTATGAAATGCTGGTCTTGGGGCCAAACCCATGAGATTCTCAGGCATTCCTTTTCCAATAAATATTTACTAAGAATCTCTTACGTGTAAGGCCATTTCAGGCTCTGCTGGTGCAGTGAGGAACAAAGCAGAAAAGGTCGCTGCTCTCATGGGACACGCACACAGATCGAGAACAAAAATGTGCAAGATAATTTCAGATAGTGATCTGTGTTTTGAAGAAAATAAAATGCTGGTCAGGGCAGATCCCTCTGAAAGGTGTCAGGGGGTGAGAGGAGCTCGAATGACACAAAGAACTCATAGGACACAAATAGAAGGAGCCAACCATGGGAAGATGTGGGAGAAGAGTGTCCCAGGGAAATGCAAAGGCCCTGTGGTAGGCACAAACTGGTGTGTCTGTAATGAGAGAAGGATTGAAAAGTTAAGCAAGAACCTAATTGGGAGTGGGTGGGGGGCGATGCTTGAAAGGTGGGTTTGATTACAAGCATGATAAACCACTGGAGTGTTTGAAGGAGGGAGACAATTGGATTGGATTTACAGTTCTAAGCTTCCTCTGCTTGCTGATGGAGAATGGAGGGTGGAAATGGAGACCAGGAAGGAGGCAGTTGAATCCAGGGTGCATATTTTGGAGGTAGAGCTGAGAGGCTCATCTGTCGGGTAAAATGGGGAAGAAGAGAGAACTGGGGGGATGCTGGCTAGCTATAAGGAAGGTAGGACCTTTCTCTGTCCTGACTACTGCCAAGTAGCGTCTAGCATCTGTATGTGCCCCATTACTCTTTGTCACCTCAACCAATGAGGTGAGGTTTGACCTTCATTTGAAGATGAGGGGACAGCTGGGAAGGGAGCTGAACTAGGAAAGGGGATTCCAGGCAGATCTAACCTGGGAGACCAGAGGCCCAGCCAGCCTGGGGGCTTTGGACTTTAGGACGTGGTGAGGACTAGGGACCTAGGGCATGAGGTATGGGCAAGCAACCTCCCAGGGGGCTCCGGCCTCAGAGAGGAATCTGCACTGCACCCCGTGGCTCCTTTCTCCAGAGTCCCAGCGCCAGGGCTCAGGGAAGCAGGACCCCCAGATCCCAGAGCTGAGCATCACATGGAGGCAGGCAGTCCATCCAGGGCCCAGTGAAAAGGGTAACACTGCCCTGAAGAGCAGGGTCCTAATTTGATCTGAGCTGGCTACCTGACCTGGCTAGCCCGTGTTCAAATCCAAGCTGCGAGGCCTTCTTGGGCAAGTTGTTTAACGTCTCTGAGCCTCAGTGTGTCCGTGTAGAAGGTTAGCGGGTACCATGATTACAGCAGGTTGTCCTACTGCTGATCCCTTTCCCCCACACCCTCTCCCCCAGACCCAGCGACGATGGCCACTATGCAGAGGCCCCGCTGCTCCCTGCCCGACGTGCTGGGGGTGGCGGAGCTGGTCAGGCGCCGTCGCCGGTACGCTCTGAGCGGCAGCACGTGGAGGAAGCGAACCCTGACGTGGAGGTAGGTCCTGGTGCGCACCCCACCCTGGCCTGCCTGCTGGGCCCCATGTGGACCGGCTGCCTTCTGTCTCCCCAGGGTACGCTCCTTCCCGCAGAGCTCAGCACTGACCCAGGAGACGGTGCGGACCCTCATGCACCATGCCCTGACCACCTGGGGCATTGAGTCAGGCCTCAAATTCCAGGAGCTGGTTTCTCAGGACCCAACAGAGCCTGACATCCTCATCGACTTTGCCCGGGCATACCACCAGGACAGTTACCCCTTCGACGGGCAGGGAGGTACCCTAGCCCATGCCTTCTTCCCCGGGGAACACCCCATCTCTGGGGACACTCACTTTGATGACGAGGAGACATGGACTTATGGGTCAAAAGGTACAATCTCCCTATTCTGAGAGGCCCTCTCCCCAGGTCTGTCTGTCCTTAAGAATTTGGTTTGAATCACATGTATCGATGGGGGCTGTATCAGTTGGGCTTCTCCAGAGAAACAGAACCAGTGGGTGCGTGTGTGCATGTGTGTGTGTGTGCAAAGTGATTTATTTAAGGAATTGGCTCACAGGATTGTGGAGGCTGGCAAACCCAAAATCTATAGGACGGGCCCACAGACTGGAAATTCAAGTGAGAGTGGATGCTGCAGTCCTGAGTCTGGTATCTGCAGAGCAAGTGAGGTGGCTGGAAACCAGGCATGATTTCTATGTTGCAATCTTGAGGCAGAATTCCTTTCTCTCTGGGAAACCTCAGGTTTTGTTCTCCGGGCCTTCAACTGATTAGACAAGACCCACCCACCATGGGGCATGATCTGCTTTACTTACAGTCAACTGATTGTAGATGTTAATTACGTCTACACAATAACCTACACAACAACATCTAGACTGGTGTTTGACTAAACAACTGGGCACCATAGTCTGACTAAGTTGACACAGAACATTACCCATCACTGAGGCCTCTCAGGCGTCCCGCTCCGAGCTGCGGACTAAAAGAGGTGAAAACAGCCCCTTGCAGCAGCTGAGTCAGAAGACTAACTGGCAGTTGCTACACACGGTGACACAACTTGGGGGAATCCTAGCAGAGGAAGTCCTCCAGCCTGTGGTGCTCAGAGGCTACCCAAAGCCTTTGACTGATGGGGCTTCCTAGAAGTGGTGACTTTATTCATCCCACATGTGTATACTGAGGGCCAACTAGCACACCAGGTCCTGTTGCCCCGGGGCATGTAGGGCTGCGGGGAGGACGCAGAGAAAAGCACAAGCCTGTGAGCTAGCTGAGTCCAGGGTTGTCAGGGGTAGGAGCACAGGGGGACATGGGGGGCTGGAAGGCCGAAATACGGTGCCGGGACGGAGAGTGTGTGTCTCATAACAAGAGGGCCTTGGAAGCACGGGGACAGAATGGGGAGGATCGGGGAAGGGAACGGGAGCCGTGGAAGGTCTTGCATTCTGGAGGGTCCAGGAAAGGGATGGTGCTGGGCGATGTGGGTCAGAGGACAGTTGAGTCAGGGTGGGCAAGACTGGGATCTAACCGGATCCTGGGGGCAGAGGGGATGGGGAGGAAGGGGTGATGGCTAGGTTTCTGACTCAGGGGCCCCTGGAGGAGGAAGAGCAGGCTCTCGGAGGGCAGAGGGGAGTTTAGGTTGGCTGCGTGTTTGCAGCGCTCATGGGCCGTTCAGTGTGGGCGGTGCATTCGTGGTCGAGTGTCTCACTCTAGAACTGGGGCTTCTCTCACTTAGGTCAGCTTCCCTGTAAGTAGAGATCAAGATGAAAGTTCTTGTGCAAGCAGTTTCTCAGGATATGTTGGTAGGGAAAAGGGAAACCAGAGCGAGCTGGGGAAAGAAGCTTAGTCAGGATGCGGTCTCAGCTGAGAGGAGCCTGACCCACACGGCTGGTCCTGCCTGGAGGCAAGGGGTCCAGCTCTTCTAGTCCCTCAGCAATCCGCCGTTGGCTGTGAGCCGCGGCAGGGAGGCCGGCCAGGAGGGAGAGCGGTTTTCTGGGGAAGGGGGCAGCCAGGGAATGAGCACACGGGCACTGACTTGGGCGAGGTGCCCACAGCATCCACAGAAGTGAGCATTTGAGCACGCCAGCTTGCAGCGAAACTCCGGTCAGGGTTCCTCCACTTGCTACGCCGTGCTCAGTTTCATCATCTGAGAAATGGGGATTATAATAGTACCTGCCGGCAGGTGGGCTTGTAATTCACCTACAGCGGTCGGCACAGGGCCCGCACGCAGGAGCACTCTGCTCACTGCAGAGTGGCCTGGTGGCACTTGGGGGGTGGTAGGTTCCAGGAGGAGAGTGTAGAACGTGAAGGTCAAGCACAGAGCTGTGGAGAGCCCCACAGTTGAGGGGAGGGTAGAAGGAGAGGAGGAACCAAAGGAAATGGAGGAAGAACAGGCCCACAGGTGACCAGGAACAGGGTGACGAGGGGAACAGGGAGCAGTGGGCAGGGCAGCAAGCCAGGCCAGTAAGTTACAGGGGCCTGGATGTGATCATCTGAGGACAAAGTGACCTTAGTGCCTACAGACTTGGCGGGTGGGGAAAGAGTCCCGACCACAGTGAGGTTAGGCATGAGAGGGACCGAGGAAGAGAAGACTGAGTTTAGACCACTGACCACAGAACTTGCTAGGGAAGGAGAGGGGTGTGGATGGGGGCAGATAGGTACTGGGGTGGCTTAGGATGAGGGAATCTTGAGCACTTGGTGATGCTGGATGAGCCAACAGAAAGAAAGAGATGGGGGATGGATGAATGGATTCATACATGGATAGATGGACGGATGGATGGATGGATGGAAGGATGGGTGGATGGATAGACACATGGGTGCAGGGATGCAGGGATGGATGGAGGGGTGGGTGGGGCATTGTCCTTGTCCTTGAGGAGGTAAGGGAAGCAGGGTCCTTGCACAGGGCAGGGCAGGAGGTAGGAGGCGAGAATGGAGGAGGCGGAGGTATCTGCCCAGGCACACAGGAAGTTACAGATTGCATCGGATGGTCTGTCTTGATGAAATAGGAAACACATTTGTCAGCATTTTTCACCTAAGAGTTGGGGGCCAGAGCTGGGGAGCAGCTTGAGGGGCTGTGGGCCTGGAATTGAGGCTAGTGGAGAGCGCAAAGGAGCTGTCTGATGAGGTCCAGAGCAGAGCTGAGAGGAGGTGTTTAGGACCCCCGAAGACTGGCCACCAGGAATCTCATGGGCTGGGGCTGGGGCTGCAGTTGTGTGTCTTCCCCCAGCTGCAGAGCGTGAGAAGGGTGCAAGGAAGGGTGTGGCCAAAGGAGAGGCAAAGCAGGGGGAGGAGGGGTGAGGGATGAAGGAGATCTACTTGATGTAGACACCCAGCTTCCTCCAGTTTCTCAGAAAAAGGCCTCAGGGCAATAAGAAAACCCACAGTCAACGACCAAATCCATCAACACGTACACAGTTTGACCAAGACCATCTGAAGTCGCTGCTGAAAGGCAGGACAGTACGGCCAGAGTACTTGGCTATACTGTCATTTGACTTGACCTCCCTGTGCCTCAGTTTCCCACCTGTCAAATGAGGACAGAAGAAAGAGGTTTTGTGAGAGGAGAATGAGAGCAAGTACTTGCTACTCTTCTTAAGACTGACCCACGCATTTCTTTCTTCACTTTCATCCAGCAGACCTTAGGGGCTGAGAGAAATTTGCTTTTCGGATCACCAGGCTCCTTCCAGTAAACCCACTTTCAACAGTGCTGGCCCGAGTTAGAGATTTCCAGGCAGTAGATCAACATCTGTGGAAACTGTGCTTCCTTGGGCAGCTGCTCACCTCTCTGGCTGTCTTGCAGTCTTGCTCTCTTGGCCTCTCAGCGGCTGAAGTAGGAGCTAGCAGGTGGATCGATGAGGAGCTGGGACTTGGCCAGCAACTGGGAGTGTGAAGAGGCTCACTCCTGGCACCCGGGCTGGTCCCCAAGGAAGAGGCTGTGGTCAGAGAGGCTGGGAACGAGGCTGGCCTCCAGGGCCAGCAGACTGGTCTGAGTGTCTGCCCGAGGAGATGGATGAAGCTGCAGAGGCAGGGAGGCAGCCCAGGACCTGAGGGAGGCAGGGGAGGGGTGGAGGCTGTGGGAAGGGGGAGATGGGGGAGGGTGACAGAGGACTGAGGGGATGGGGGCACTGGCGGGGTGCACATGGGAGGAGGAGGAGCACCATGGGGGTGGGAGTGGGGTGAAGGTCTTGGGAACCGAGGCCAAGGAGACCGTGGGTGGGGAGTTCTGACCACAGACTGGAGCGGGACTGGGGCTTCCTCGAGAGAAATGCATGCACCCCCAGGTTCCTGCTTCCCCCCCAGAGTGTTTCTGCATGCACAGCCTTCCTTGCTTGGGGGCCGGCGCTACATCCGAAAGGTCACCCCTTCGTCTGTCCAGACTGTCTCCTCCTACCCCTTCCCTTACCTCTTCTGTGGGTCTCTTCAGCCTGGTACCCAAGTTCCCAGAACTGCCAAGCAAGGCTACTCAAAAAAATCCTCCAAATAAGTGAATGCACACAAGAAGGACAGAATGGCTCACAGAAGGGTCTGGGTATAGCCACCTCTGGAGGGTCTCCTGGTTGTTCCTGTCTGCCGGCGGGCCCCACTCCAGGGGCTTCCCGGCCACCTTCGTTCCTGGTGTGGGGGAGGGGCACAGCTCTAGCCCAATTTCCCTCCTTCCCCAGATGGTGAGGGGACTGACCTGTTTGCTGTGGCTGTCCATGAGTTTGGCCACGCCCTGGGCCTGGGCCACTCCTCAGCACCCAACTCAATTATGAGGCCCTTTTACCAGGGCCCCGTGGGCGACCCCCACAAGTACCGCTTGTCCCAGGATGACCGTGAAGGCCTGCAGCAGCTCTACGGTACAGGGCTGGGGAAGGGCGGTTTGCCCTGTGGGCTCTGCTGCAGTGGGGTCTGGGAACTCACGCCTCTCTGACTCTCTCTCCACAGGGAAGGTGCCCCAAACCCCATATGACAAGCCCACAAGGAAACCCCTGGCTCCTCCTCCCCCGCCCCCTGCCGTGCCCCCGGACAGGTGAGTCCCTCTCCAGCTGTATGACCTGGGGTCAAGTCCCTAACCTCAGTGTGGTCCTTGGTGAGATGGGCACGGTGAGAGTCCCTTCCTCATAGGACTGTCCTAACAGTTAAGCAAAGAGACCAGGAGCCTTAGCCCCTCTCTGCTCACCTCTCCTTTCCTTTGTAGCCCCTCTCTTCCCATCCCTGACCGATGTGATGGCAATTTTGACGCTATCGCTAACATCCGTGGTGAAATCTTCTTCTTCAAAGGTGAGTCACTCCAGATCTCCCCTGACCCCATAGAGTTGGCTTCCTACCCCCTTAGGATGACCCACCACGCCTGTGGGGGTTCCCAGGATGCAGGACTTTCAGTGCTAAAAACACAAGGCAAAGCCTAGGAGAGCTGCTCACCCCAGAGCCACTGCACCCTTAAAACCCAGGCGGACTTGCTCCGCCAGCCGCGGGACACAGAGAGCCAGCGCTGTCTCCCAGCCACGCGCTCTGAGGGCGAAGGCCTCTTGCCATCTCCTGCCCCCACGCCCGCCCCTCGTTCCGCCACAGGCCCCTGGTTCTGGCGCCTGCAGCCCTCGGGACAGCTGGTGTCCCCCCGGCCCGCCCGGCTCCACCGCTTCTGGGAGGGGCTGCCCGCCCAGGTCAAGGTCGTCCAGGCCGCCTACGCCCGGCATCCGGACGGCCGCATCCTCCTCTTCAGCGGTGAGTGGGCGCCGGGGCGCGGCTGGGCCCGCGCGGGGCGCGCACCCGCTCACGTGCCGGCTCCCCCGCAGGCCCCCAGTTCTGGGTGTTCCAGGACCGGCAGCTGGAGGGCGCCCCGCGGCCGCTCACGGAGCTGGGGCTGCCGGCGGGAGAGGAGGTGGACGCCGTGTTCTCGTGGCCGCTGAACGGGAAGACCTACCTGATCCGGGGCCAGCGCTACTGGCGCTACGACGAGGCGGCGGCGCGCCCGGACCCCGGCTACCCCCGCGACCTGAGTCTCTGGGAAGGGGCGCCTCACGCCCCGGACGACGTCACCGTCAGCAACACAGGTGCGAGAGGGTGCGGGGAGGGGCTGGAGGCCCCGCGGACGGGGAGAGGGGCCATCCTGGGGGTTTCGGGGAGCCCGCGGGAGGGGCAGCCTGGACCGGCCCCCGACGGGTCTCCTCCCACCCCCGCAGGTGACACCTACTTCTTCAAGGGCGCCCACTACTGGCGCTTCCCCAAGGGCAGCGTCAAGGCCGATCGCGAGGCCCCTCAACCCATGGGCCCCAAGTGGCTGGACTGCCCGGCCCCCAGCGCTGGCCCACGCGCCCCCAGGCCCCCCAGAGCGACCCTGGAACCTGGGACCTGCGATTGTTCGTGCGAGATCAATCACGCCTCAGGGCGGCCGTCGCTGTCCTTCCTGCTGTCCCTTCTGGCCGTGCTGGTGGGGGGCGTCGCCTCCCGTTAAGGGGGACGGGTCTCCCACCGCGGGTCTGGGTGTGTGTGTGTGTGTGTGTGTGTATGGGGGGGGTGTCGTCCTGAGTTGCTGCGGAGGCACACCCTCTGTTCCCAGGGGCGGGACTCTGCGGGGACGCAGCTGGGAGCATGTGGGTGGAGCTAAGCCCTGGGGACCGGGGACAAATGGCTGGCGCTTAGACTGGACCAGTCCTGTGCTCAGCGTCGCCTCCCCCGCCTGCACCCGCGCGGTTGCGGTGGCGCGCTTCTACCGCAGGACGCTCCTTTTCTCGGAAGAGCTGGTGTTTCTTGAGCACGGCAGCCGACTGCAGCCCTGCCCCCGCCGGGCAACAGCGGCTCCCAGTAGCAGCTCTGGGCTGTTCTGGCTTTAGAGGAATGGCATGACTGGGCAACTGAACCCCAGCCTCTATCTCCACCCGTTGCTCCGAGTTTCCCAGGACTGTCCCACCCTGTCCCGCTTCCAAGACGTCCTCAATGCCACAGGGATTGGGGGCCGCAGACCCAGCCCTGAAACTACCCCTGAGCACCCGTGGGTGTGTCCCACGTCTTGGGTGACATCAGTGGCCACCCAGACGACCCTCCACAACCTAAGCCCCGTGGACCTACTTTCTGGTGCCACTCTGGACCCAGTGCTGTGTCCGTTCAACAGAACACCTTCCTATCCCTACAAGTCCCCTCAGTGCCTCCACACTGGAGGGCCTGCCGCTTCCCTCAAGGAGAGCTCCTGGACTCTCCTCAGCTCCATGCGGTGGGAAGACCGTGGACTCAGCCATGGCTTCCTCAGCACCCCTGGGTGATGAGTGGGTGGGCCACCTCATTCACCCACCCCACCGCCCGCTCCCCTCAGAATGCAGGATCTAAATCAGTGCCTCTGGAACTATACTTCTGGAATATTCCACATTAGAATCACCTAGGGAACTTAAAAATGCAGACCTCACGCCCTCACCCTGAATGCAAGAGTCTGCATCTGAGTAAGCTTGAGGGGTGGGCACGGGAGCTGGGACAGCAGCTGTCCCCCCCGCCTTGTGGTTTTCCTGTGTCTCTGCCATGTTCTTCCTCCTAGGGGCCAACCTCTTCATGTTCTCGGTAGAGTCAAGTTGATGTCGCTGGTCTATGGGTGGAGCCACTTAGCGACCATTTCTTGGGTTGCCATCCAGCCCACAGGGCTGGCTTGGGCGGGGGCCGCGGGCGAAGTCCCAGCATGCCGGGAGGTTGCCTGCCATCAGTGGGTCACAACAAGCTGACCAGTAGGAGGGCAACAACAAGAGGTCTTCAACCAGTCCATGACTGGGAATCCTAAGCCGCCAGAAAACCAGAAATCTGGGCCTCTGTCAGGATCCTTTCAGAATATGTGGAGGAGGAAACTTGTATTTTAAAAGCTTATGAGCCCCATACAGGAGGACAAGGAAAATAATTGGAGAGAAAGCCCTTCGTTGCTTCTGTGCACAGATGGACCTGGGGTGAGTTTGGCTGCAGGAACTTGATAGACCTGAATCGCTCTGTTTTGTAGAAGAATTTGGGGTTCAGAGTTGATGGGCAGTGGGGTGGCAGATGGAGAGAGAATGAGTGTGAGAAGGAAGGAGAGAGAGGAACCCAAAAGTCGGCTAGGGGAGCTCAAAGGAGGAGTGTCCAAGGTGAAATCTGTGGCTACTACCATGCTCTGTGGAAACTTCTCAAGCCTTTAAAAATATATTAAGTATACTATGGAAAAAGGCCATGTCAAATTGATTAATTTTATTTTTAAAATTAAATGCTCCCATAATCAAAATGTAAAACATTTGTGCTTCAAAGGACACCCTAAAAAATGAAAAGACCACCCACAAAATGGGAGAGTACATTTGCAAAGGACATATCTGATAAGAGACTTGTATCCAGAATATACAAAATACTCTTACAATTTCATAACAAGAAGATAAATAAACCAGTTTTTTTTAAGGTTTTATTTATTTATATGACAGAGA